TACAGATAGATAGATAGATAGATAGATAGATAGATAGATAGATAGATAGATAGATAGATTAACACTGCCTGGTGACTTTTAACATTGAGCATATCAATGCTACATTCTGCCTAAGGCATGTGCCTTGAAAATGGCAGTGACCATGCAGGATTGATTCCTATTTACACCCGCCCAACATCTAGAAACGCTTTCACTCTCATACTCAAAAGATTTCCCTACACAACTCTACCATCTATTAAACATCCAGGTAGGTATACGTTCCTGTGTAAGTATATTGTGCGTGTATGTTTATATATATACATATACACACAAACACTTACACAAACAGACTCTCACACATTCACACACACACACACACACACACACACACACACATGAGTGGGCACACAGACAAATAAACGTGATTCAAACACCAGCCGCTATTATCAACTCATGTTTCTTTCTGGATTTTTTATGAGACAGCGATAAACTTTTTGTTCTTTTTTCATGATTCCGTATTAAATTTAAATTATGAAATGATTTTCCTTCTTTGGAATCTTTTTTTCAGTCACATTGGCAACGCACTTTTAACATACATACATACATATATATATATATATATATATATATATATATATATATATATATATATATATATGCATACATATAGAAACAACATGATTCCTACATTTTAAGTAAAAAATATGATTTGTAACTTTTATTATTATTTTATTATTATTAAGTTATTGCTTTAAATTTCAAAGAACCCCGAGTACACACTACAATTTAGTTTATTTTAAGTATTTCCTAAAAACTAATACATAATAATTTGTGAAAGTTTTAGTTCGTTAGTAGTAAATACCGCTGATGTTTAGGCACTACGATTTGAAAGACTTTCATCGATTCTTTTACATTGACTGCTCGATTTATACAAAGCTTAGACTTAAACGTCTGTATCGGCGAGTTTAGGTGAATATGATTTTAAAATGATAAATAGCTAATCATACACAACAGAGTTTTTTTGAATAACGTCGCTACATTAGAATAAGCAAAACCAACATGAAATACTTAATTAAATATAGATACTGCATTTAATTAAATTGATATCATTCGTATATTTTTGTTCTATATTACGAATGGAAAAAAAAAAAACATGTAATATGTTAGCTATGTAAAACTGTCAGCGTTATGCGATGAAAAAGTGAATAGAGATGCTTCCTTAATAAATCCATAAAATACAATAAAAATCAGTGACGGAACATATATTTATTTTTTATTATAACATCCCCATTCTTGTCTATGTAAGAAGTTCCATGGTTTGAATCCCATACTTATATCGAATACTATTATAGAGATAAAGACTCCACTAACTACGACTTATCATATGACATATTTTTACTCGCCCTCACTCAGACATGACCTGCTGTAAAACATACAAAAACAATCCCATTATATGTATACACATGTAAATTTATGACTATCACTATATGTGCAGGGGTAAAAAGCAAAGGACTAATGCGGAATTCGAAATCGATTTCTGATTCCATTTTTGCGATGATAACCGCTACGCCAAGTTTCCGAACACCCACACGCCTATAATGGCGCTTGGGTATGTAATGTGTTGAAACGGGTGTAAATATCTGGACAAGTCTTTATTAATATCGAAAGTAGACAGAATAAAATGCCACAAAAATCGGATCATAAAATGAATGAAGAAATAATAATTGTACGCGCCTACAAAAAAATATCCATGTATACTATCGCATATAATCGCATATATATATATATATATATATATATATATATATATATATATATATATATAATTAAAAGGCTGAAACTATAATATTCCATGGTCATAATTTATTCCACTGGGATCGTAAATACGATCCAATTCATCAGACTAACAAATTCAAAAAGGAAAAACAGAAAAAAAACAACATTTGGAGAGAGTGTAAGTATGAGAGTGTGGGATTAATGTTAGAGCTATAGAGAGGGGTAACAGACGAGAGAAGGTGTAGGGGATTAAAATTTAACAGAGAGAAGTTTTAAAGAGGGGAGTCAAAGACGGTTTAAGTGAGAGAAATATGAATGTTCTCGGATATCCAATACATTGAAGAAATAAGCGGAAAGGATACATGTATCAATCCTGGACAGTGAGTTCTACCTGGATACTATCCTCTTGGAATATGTATTCTTTTTTATGCAGATATATTTGTATGTGTATGTATGTGAGTATGTATGTGTATGTATGTATGTATATTTAGATATTTTGCATATGTATGTGTATATTTACCACTAACGTTATCTATCTATCCATCTATATATATATATATATATATATATATATATATATATATATATATATATATATATATATATATATATATAAAAAGAAAGAACAGTAAGAGATATAATCCGGTGTTCTTATAGATATTTTTATTTTTACAAAATAGAGCTCAATGTAAATTTACAGAGCATTAATATTATAAATTAATTGATTTAAAACATGAAACATTTGAAACATGTTTAGAACTGTGTAGAGGAAAAACATATTTTAAATCAATTCATTTATAATATATATATATATATATATATATATATATATATATATATATATACACACACACAGACACACACACACATATATATATATATATATATATATATATATATATATATATATATATATATAATTCACTTATTTACATGGTTCACATTCCTTCCTGTTCTTTTGAACAGGAGGAGATGTATGTCCTTTTTTCTGTTTAGATTGGTTTTCCGATTCCTTTAACATTTTAATTCAACTGCATACTTCTGAAGTTTACCTCTAAACACTGAAACTTTATTTACTAATTATTTTTTTAAATATGTCTTCTTTTTTTCTTCCGCTTCAAACACACACTTTCCCGATATTTTGAACAGAAGTAGAGATTTATCCATGGTTTCCTGTTTTTGATTGTGTTTCCGTTTTCCAATGTCTACGTAAAATCAATAAATCTAAAGTCTCCCAATGAATTTTGAGATTTTAATTACTAAATATTTATTTATATTTTCTATTCTTTTCTTTATTTTCTCAATACTAGAATATAAACTCGCTTATCATGGGTTCGTATTCCACTCTTTTGAACGGAAGTAGAGTTGTAACTATTTTTTCATTATTTAGAAATGCGTTTCCGGTTGCTACTAAATTATTTTCGTAGCCTTTGAGTCCCAGTGACCGTTTGCGTCTTAGTGACAATATCAGCTTACGTGGGGTGACTTGATTAAAAAATAAAATTTAAAAACATCTAATATTTAGTGTATAATGTAAGAAATATATCGTAACACACCATAGTGAGAAGTTACAAAAGCAAAGGAACAATATACGGGGGTTGAAACATGTTAACACGTCCATGGAAATAAATTTTTTGGAAAAAAGTAGTACGGATATTATGATTTCAAGCAGTCTCCACCTGTTCCAGATACCTGTCGACATCTTCTAGCAATCTACGACAGATGATTAAAATATGTTAACATTTTTCATGTGGGTCCCTTTATGAAAAAGGAGATTTCAATTCTGTTTTGAATGAATAACAACACTTCAGTATTTATTATAAACTTTAATAAATGAATTTTTATATTGCAATGGTTTACAATTGTATGTCCACAGGTTGTGTTAAACTATGTTTGAATAGGCACATAATAGTACAAATTCTGTTGTAATGGTGATGTAGAAAATACGCAAGAGAGCGTTCAATTATAATTCTTTTAAAATTTAAAATTTATTCGCTGTAGCTATCGTGTTTTTGCAAGCGTTCCAATATATATAAGAATAATATATAATAATATATATAATACTAAATATATATAATATAATAAGTAATAATTTTTCTATGTATGTTCATACATAGATGCAACAAACCATTTCTTATTTACCAGTTAAACAACATCCTCCTTGAAAATGGCTAAATGTATAGCCGAAAGCGCTTGGAAAGAAGGGACATCCGACAGTTTTTACATAATTTATCATCTGAAAGGAAAGTTTATTAGATCGCATGAGAACTTGTATAAAAAAATTATCAAAGCACCTTGTCTGTGTCGTAATATATATATATATATATATATATATATATATATATATATATATATATATATATATATATTATTTATATATTATATCGCGGTACTTATTAGAAAGAGCTCAATATCAGAGATAGAGCTAACATATTTGGTTGGATTGATGTGAGTTAGTGACCCTGGGTTTCACGCTTTTGCGATCGACTGACACTCAGCATTTCAGCTTGGACATAATTATAGGATTTATTTTATTCTCAGTATATACTTCTGATTTAAAAATTACCAATAACTGAAAAAATATTATATTTATGTTATGAATTTAATATTAAGTTTCATTTTTGGTACACCTGAATCTCTCAAATATTATATTATCTTTGTTTTTTATCTATGGTTAGAATATAAAAGTAAAGGTATATTAGACATGGGACGTGGAACTAGAACAGTGAGCGAAATAAATTCAGTTCGACATTCCAAACACCTGAAGAAGGCCGGAGTGTTCAACGGACGAGACGTTGTGATAAGTATGTCAACAAATATGAGGACAAAGATCCGAATAATAAAATTATGTAAATATA